GGTATTAATTGTGGAACACTATTTTTACAGCCTTTAAAAATTCCGAAATCGATCGGGCTTTTTTTCCCGCACCCTAGGTGGGATTTTGAGATTTTTAGTTTTGCCAACATGTATAGATGTATACAACTTTTTTTCTATCAAGTAAAAGTCTCTTGGGCCTTAATAAAAGTTGTATAGACAATGCTGATTTTGATAATTTAACCACCATTAGAATCAGAAAAATCGTCTCTACAACTTTTATTAAGGCCCCAAGAGACCTTTACTTGATAGAAAAAAAGTTGTATACATCAGGAATGCTGATTTCAACTTCTATAATAATACTTATAAAAATCAACCCCACTTTTTTATTAGTAAAAGATTCTCCTTCTTTTGTGAATTGTCAATTAAATTTAATCCTACGTAATTCGAGAAATATGCACAATAAAACTTACACCCTAGATAGTTAATGTATTCGATTAAACATATTTAGCTATGATTACGATAAACTTCTAGTACTGTAAACTGCTGAGCCTAGGATATTTACAATGGTTAGAAACATATCCAGGCATTTTTTTATTTAATCTAGTATATCTCAAGGTATAAAGATACTGCCATTTGAAGTGCATTTTGTATATTATCCGTATATAAAAGAATTTTGAACCAGCAGTTTACTGTAATAATATGTGCATGTATAACTTACTTTTTAGCGATCTCTGTGAAAATATCACGCACATTATCTCTTTTCTTTGGACTAGCTTCGAAAAAAAGCAATTCTGCCTCGAGGGCATATGATTTGCCTCTAATGTTAAAATTTGTCTTCCAGATTCATACCATTCATCCTCTTCATCTTCGTAAGGTTGAACTAGATTTATTTTATTATCTACAAAAGCAATAACAATGTTTGGGTTTGCTTGACGCCATAATTCTTTTACAAAAGATTTAGCTTTATCAAGTGAGTGCTAATAAGTGATTCTATATTTATATAAATATATTATCAATTTATTAATACATTAAATTAATGAGGTCATCTAACGAAATGGTGATTTTGAATTCCAACTTACAGCTTTCATAACATTATAAACAACTATAGCTGCTTGAACATTGCGACAATACATTAGGGTGAGCAAACGATATTTTTTCAGGCCAGGAGTATCCCAGATTTCAAATTTAAATTTTGCATCATCCAACTGAAACCTTTTAGATAAAAAGTCGACTGAGAATATTTCAAAAAGAATTAGTAATTCAAAAAAATTGTTAAAGTTATTAATTTAACTTGCATTTATTAGACTGGCTTTAAGTTACCTACCACCAATAGTTGGCCCTATGTTTTTATGAAATTCGTCATTAACAAATTTGAGCACCAAGCAAGATTTACCAGTAGCAAGTTCCCCTGAGAGTAAATAATACAACGAAAGTATATGATAGGTATTAACTTTGTGACAGGGACGGTGATTTTTTGTAATTTACAGAAAACCATAGAATTTTTCTTAAACATAAAATAGAATAATTCTAACATTCTAAAGGCAGTAATTTTCAGATAACGACGGAATACCTTTTATTATGTATTTGCGAAACTCACCTAGAAGCACCAATTTTACGCTTTTATATAAATTATAGTATATGACATTATATATTGTGTTATAAGCTGTTAAAAAGGTGATGCATAATCAAACTTACAATCTGGGTCTAGCATGAAATCCTGACATCCAAAATCTAAACAGGCCATAATACTGACATCATATGACATGACAATTAATATTTAAAGATTAGTACCGGTAAGCATATTAACAATTATTGCCAGACTTAATTGCCACATCGTGTGATGTCAGTATTATGGTCTGTCGAGATTTTGGATGGGATTTCGTACTAGACCCTACAATCTAGTGATATAATAAATTAAAATATTATTTAGCAATAATATTTAATTTAAGAAATGAATATATGTATTAAACCTACATTCTAGTGGTATAATCAATTAAAATATGATTTAGCAATAATGTTTAAATTTAAGAAATAAATGTATGTAATCGAACTTACGGTCTGGTAGCCAATACAATCAAAATATGATTTAGCAATAATATTTAAATTTAAGAAATTAATATATGTAATCGAACTTACATTCTGGTAGTCAATATAATCAATTAAAAAAATATATATATTATTTAGCAATAATATTTAAATTTAAGAAATGAATATAGGTAATTGAACTTATGACCTGGTAGTCAATATAATCAATTAAAAAAAATATATTATTATTTAGCAATAATATTTAAATTTAAGAAATGAATATATGTAATCGAACTTATGATCTAGTAGTCAATATAATCAATTAAAATATTATTTAGTAATAACGTAATAGTAAAGTCAATTTAACAAATGAAATTACTTACTTTCTGGTAGTTAACATAATGTTAATCGATCAAAATATTATTTAGCAATAATGATAATAGAAATTTAACATTGAGTAGACATGATCGAGTTTACTCCCTAGTAATTAATATAATCGATTAAAGATTATTTATCAATCAATAATCAATATTTAAATTCTAACTTAATAACGACAAGAATATATGTATTCTGACTTACTTTCTAGTATTTAATACAATCGATTGAAATATTATTTAGCAATAATAGTTAAATTTAGCAAATGAAAATATGTAATCGAACTTACAATCTGGTAGTTAATGTAATCGATTAAAATATTATTTATCAATAAAAAAAAATTAATATTTAAATTCTGACTTAACATATGAATACACTTACTCCCTAATATTTAATGTAATCGATTAAAATAGTACAATAATAATAGTTATGTCGTAGCTGATACTGAAATTGGTTGATGCTAAAATTTGGTGTCTCAATTTGAAAGTATAACCCTGTTAAAATCCACATATACACTTCAATTAAACAAAATTCTAACTAAACTTTTCACAAATTTCAGCATCAGCCGTGGCAATTAATATTTAAAAGAATAAAATATATAATTGAACTTACAACCTGATAGTTAATATTATAGATTAAAAATATTATTTAGTATTATTTAAGCAACAATATTAAAAATTTAACAAATGAATATACTTAATCGAACTTACTCTAGTGATGTGTGACGCAACTGATGAGACCTGACGAAACCATGACGCAACCTGACGAAACCA